CCTTCCTGGACCTCTCTGTCTCCATCTCGGGCAACCACCTAGAAACCGATATCCATTTCAAGCCCACCGACTCCCACAGCTACCTAGAATACTCCTCCTCCCACCCACCTTCCTGCAAAAATGCTATCCCCTGTTCCCAATTCCTTCGCCTCCACCGCATCTGCTCCCAGGATGAGACATTCCACTCCCGTACATCTCAGTTGTCCTCGTTTTTCAAGGACTGCAACTTCCCCGCCTCAGTGGTCGAGAACGCCCTCCACCATGTGTCCCGCATTTCCCGCAACTCATCCCTCACACCCCCTCCCCGCAATAACAACCAAAACAGAATCCCCCTCGTCCTCACGTACCACCCCACCAACCTCCGGATCCAACGCATCATCCTCCGACACTTCCGCCATCTGCAATCCGACCCCACCACCAAAGACATCTTTCCCTCCCCACCCTTATCTGCTTTCCGGAGGGACCACTCTCTCCGTGACTCCCTTGTCCGCTCCACACTCCCCTCCAGCCACACCACACCCGGGACTTTTCCCTGCAACCGCAGGAAGTGCTACACCTGCCCCTACACCTCCCGCCTCACCCCCATCCCAGGCCCCAAGAAGACTTTCCACATCAAGCAGATGTTCACCTGCACATCAGCCAATGTGGTATACTGCATCTGCTGTTCCCGTTGTGGCCTCCTCTACATCGGGGAAACCAAGCGGAGGACCGCTTTGCAGAACACCTACGCTCAGTTCGCAATAAACAATTGCACCTCCCAGTCGCGAACCATTTCAACTCCCCCTCCCATGCCTCAGACGACATGTCCATCCTGGGCCTCCTGCAGTACCACAATGATGCCACCCAAAGGTTGCAGGAACAGCAACTCATATTCCGCTTGGGAACCCTGCAGCCCAATGGTATCAATGTGGACTTCACAAGCTTCAAAATCTCCCCTCCCCCTACCGCATCCCAAAACCAGCCCAGCTTGTCCCCACCTCCCTAACCTGTTCTTCCTCCCACCTATCCCCTCCTCCCACCTCAAGCCGCACCCCCATCTCCTACCTACTAACCTCATCCCGCCCCCTTGACCTGTCCGTCCTCCCTGGACTGACCTATCCCCTCCCTACCTCCCCACCTACACTCACCTTTACTGGCTCCATCCCCACCTCTTTGACCTGTCTGTCTCCTCTCCACCTATCCTCTCCTCTATCCATCTTCTATCCGCCTCCCCATCTCTCTCTATTTATTTCAGAACCCCCTTCCCCTCCCCCATTTCTGTTGAAGGGTCTAGGCCCGAAACGTCAGCCTTCCTGCTCCTCTGATGCTGCTTGGCCTGCTGTGTTCATCCAGCTCTGCACCTTGTTGTTCGACCAAGAGGCCTGTTTCCACACTGTAGGGATGCCATGATATAGCAAGTTTCTGTGGTCTCCTCCAGTTATTTATTCCAAATGATGATCACCTTTTGTGCTATTTCTCTCTGATTTCAGACCACCTCCTCCTGTTTTTAAGGCAATTGTGAAAAGGTACAGAGGGTGGTAGATGAGGGTATTTGTAAAATGCAGTCCGGTGTTCTGATATTGAACCCACGGCCCCTAGGAGTGGAGGAAGCTGATTCGGCAAAATCTTCAAAAGGAAATTGGGAACCCGATTTGAAAAGGAGAAAGTTTCAGGGTCCTAGGCAGGGAGGAGAGGGGTGAGACAGGCAGTATGGGATATATCCAATAGCTCAGGCAGTATGGGCTATATCAAATAGCCCAGGCAGTATGGGCTATATCCAATAGCTGTTGGGTGTTTGGGTGATATTCTGCTGAGTGACTCTAACCTGAATCTCCGTCTTTGATTGAAGGTGACCAACCTAACTGAGGAAACATCAGAGATGAACGTGTTGATTACAAAGTTGAGAAAGGAGAAGAATGCTCTTCAGGAAGCCCATCAGAATATTCTGGAAGATCTGCAAATGGAGGAGGAGAAGGTGAACAGTTTGAGCAAGGCCAAGGCGAAATTTGAACAGCAAGTGGAAGATGTAAGTGAAATCTGAGGGGCCGTTACAAACGGGAAGGGGTGAGGAGGGGCATCAGTACCCAAATAGGATGAAAAATATAACAGTAATTCATCCTGTTCCACAGCAAGTTAAATTCTGTGCTGGCAAAGTGTCACATGGTGTCAAAGGCAGACACAATTTGCCGAAGATAGGGAGTTATCAGGACATGGCCTTGATCAAACAGGTAGATTTTAGTGAGTCACTCCTGGGAGGAGAGAGTGGAAAGGTTGTGTGAGGTAATTTCTGAGGCAAAGCACAAAGGAGCTGAAGGAGCACACAACAACGTTGGAATTGTCAAAATCAAGGAGGATCAAGTGGCCAGAGTTGGGGGAATGTTTGATGCCAGGAGGACGATAGAGCTGTGGGAGGTTACAGAGATCAGGAGGGGTCTTTTAAAACCCAAGCCATGTCAGGTGATATTACAGTTCTGAGGAAGGGTCACCGGATCCAAAACGTTAACTCTGTTTTCTCCTTCACAGATGCTGCCAGACCTGCTGAGCTTTTCCAGCAACTTTCTGTTTTTTGTGTCAGTGTGGTATTGGGTTGGATAAGCAAAAGCTAGGGCCCAAGAGGTAGGCCTTAAGGAGAAAAGTGAGGCAGAGAGGAGCAGGGAGGGAATTTCAGAACCTGGGCCCCACAGACACTACAGCCGGCATTACAGGAACAATGTAAATTCCCCAGCGCTTAGAGGCCAGAGGAGGAGGAGCACAGAGAGCTCGGAGGGCTGTGGGGCTGGTGAAGATTGCAAGAATTTTAGAACCAAGATGGGGCCAGTGTAGGTCGGAGAACATGGGGTGGCAGGTAGGACTGTGTGAGAGCTCAGTGTTGAGCTGCCGAGCTTTGACTGAGCGTAGTGGGTGGGAGAGCAGCCAGATAGCTTTGGAATTGTGAGTTCTGTCGGAAAAACTGATCAGGATTTGGGCAGCTGATGAATGAAAATGGTGAAAGCGGGCAGCTCCAGCATCCTGGAGTGGGAACATCATTTTGGTTAAAGGGGAAGGAAATGCTCATGGAATGACGGATAAGCGGGAATTGAAAACCAGGAAGATGCAGGGACAGTCCGCGTTCCACAGTGAAATGTGCGGGCAATTCCTCAGGTTGTCAATGTGTAAGCAACATTTCTTTCTCTGAAGATGGAAGTATCCTTGGAGGAGGAGAAGAAGATCCGTATGGAAATTGATCGAACCAGGAAGAAGCTGGAGCAAGATCTGAAACAAGCCCTTGTGTCAGTGATTGACTTGGAAAGTAACAAAGTGCAAATGGAGGAAAAGCTGAGGAGGTAACCGGGGAGCGGGGGAGGTAACTGGGGAGGGGGAGGAGGGTGGAACGAGGGTGGGAGCTAGCCCTGGGTGGGGGGGGGGGAGGTCTCGTTGGTCGCCGTA